TGTGGGAGACTACGTATACAGTCAATTCAAAAAACGTTGTCGTCGACCGGCTCAAGCCTACGCGACTGGACCGAAAGGAATATGGGTAAAAATCACTGAAGCAGTTAAATATTCGTTCTGAATTGATTGTTTCCGCTAGTAATAAGATAATAACGGCTAGAAAAAATCCATAGAATGCATGTCTTCGGGTTTAGGAAAAGAAAAACAAAGTAGTTATGATTTAGTTCACAATTCCGAAAATATGAAGGCATTAAAAAAACGTCTCCTTCAACACTTCCCGCTCGTCTACAAAGGTTCGTGCTGTAAACCAGGCATAACTAGTCAGATAAAATTATGGAGTCAACTCGGCTTCAATGATTACTAACCCAAAGTTCCTTTCGGTCCAGTCGCGTAGGCTTGAGTTGGTCGACGACAACATTTTTTGAATTGACTGTATACTAGTAACTCATCAGAAGTGTAGAAATTATTAATTTTATATAAAAATAACATTTATATGGAAAATATGGCTTTGTGCAACGCCGTTTGTTGTCCTAATGGTGGGACCTAACTACATAAGACAAGCGCTGGTTAATCAGGTAAATTTAATGCATGTCAACGCGTGCATCACTCGTGAGTATCTTAATTTCAACGTTTTTTTTATGAATTACAGTTGAAAAATAGGACAATATTAAAGTTCATACACGTATACACATATATTTTAATAACGGGTAAATCCCCACTAATTAGGTACACCAACGGCCTACAACGGAATACAGTACGGGGGGCTTTGGTAATTCCATATTGGACAATTTTGTTTGTTTGCTTGATGGTAACTATCAAATCTTACTAAAAGATATAGAAATATAGATAAGTTATAGTGCTTGGGACTATAACTTATCTATATTTCTATATCTTCATGTATTTCATTAGTRCCATACGGTCCACATATTCTCATTATTAAATCTTACTACTCAGTTTCAGAACTGTTGTAGTTCACAGCTTTTAGATGGCAAGTTTTTCTGATTCGCTCAGCCGAGGGTTTCATTTTAAATAGCTCCTGGCTTTTCTCATGTATAAGAACATGGGAAACCAGAAGCAAAGACAGTAGTCTTGCACAGTTACTAACTCCTGGAAGTCATTGTTAGTCGAAATATGCAGCTTTTTGCTTAATGGAACTAAAAGTTCGGAATTTTTTTTGCCATTGGAGTATGGTGTTGTTATGATTATAATCATTTCAAGTGCTGTTGGAAGCTTAGGCAATATTTTGGTCTGTGCGACGATCCATAGTGCAACTGTTGGTCCTGAGCTATCTTGTCTTTAATCTCTAAAATGTCCTTCAAAAATATAATAATAGTAAGAGAGTTGATATTCTTGGGCGCAAATGTTCTTCCTTTATTGTCATAATGATCATTTTCAAGCAAATCGTTAAAATTTTAGTTAAGATTTCACAAATAATATTTAGAAAAAAAGGCCTTCCTAGTGATGGTACCACTTTTAAACAATAGTTCAGAGTAGTCGTATGTCAGTGAAGGTCCATAGAATTTTAAAGAGTTCGTATTGTTGACATTGCGCATTTTAAACTTTGCTGTTACGGTTATTATATCAGCCCTTTGTGAATATCTCAATAATGATGGATATTGGAAATATTCAGAAACACTGGAAAGAATAAAAAGTCTGGCGTTATGATATTTTAGCTTCCACATAGTGTGTCCGCTTCCTATATTATAATACCATTTTGTTAGGTTGGGTTGCCTGTTCGCAATTTCTCTAGCAGCCTGAAAATATAGTTATTGAATAGGTACATAGGAGCTGGGATTTGCCTATTGAGGCCCTGGAAAATGTTACAGCGCAATGGTGACGTTCTATCTGTTTTATGATACTTTTAACTGGTAATATTATACTTTAATATTACAACCAAAAAATATTCAAAACCTCCGGTTAATTTTCTTCTTGGTCTCATGATCAATACGCTAACCTGAAAATTTATAAACTTTATAAACGCAATTTTTGTTGAAATGCGAGCTACGACCTATTTACTGGAACGAGGATGTTTTTAAATCAGAAATTCGCCACTCACTAGGCCGGGATATCACATACTGTGATAAGTAACCGAAGCTGGATAACTGGCCGAGTCAAACGCTGTCATAGAGCGTCCACATATAAGCATATCCGTCCACAATAATGCCCGAACTTAACGTGAACGAACTTGGGGAAGAAGTTTTGGATCAAATGAGAATCTTATTTGGACAACAAGCAATCAAAAGTAAGTATTGCACTGTTATCGGTGATTAGGAACTATTATCTGTGATACAGTAAATCCCTTATAGTGAATGCTTCCATAAGATTGACCGTTTCAGCTTATGGCAAGCTGCAATATAGCAAATAATAATTTATTGACAAAATACTTTGCTCTTTTCTCAGTTGTCAAACGTGTTCACAGAAGGAAAACAAGAATGTTTGGTTGAAATGATTTGATCTTAAAGGTAATAAGATGACAGCAATTCTTTGATTCATTGATTCATATATATTCTTTAAGTCATGAAGCTTATTCATCTGACTTGCAGTTTTTGCATTGTGAACAAAAATATGTTAGGAAACCGAGCTATGCCAGTACGGTTGTACGAAGTCTAGATAAAGTTATCCACYGGGTAAAGTTATCCAGTGTATAGAATAGGCCTTTTGCAACAGATTGACACGTGACCGGTTCACGCATAGCAGCGCCATGCTGGATTGCAAGCTAACCAGACATTCCTTGACAACCAACAAAGCGTGACTGGCCTTCGTGAGCGTTCAAACGATTCAAAAGCCGTTTTCTTCTCTTGTAGAAAGTCAATCTTGAAATATTTCCTACACATTATAGCTTTAGTGTTTTTCTGACTTTTCTTCTGGTTACTCGCGAAGTTTCGTGATTTAAAAGCGATATTTCAAGCTCCAAACGAACCGATTTCACACTTGGATAACGCGAATCATGGCGGTCGTCGAGCAAGGTAATTATTTCCAAACTTTGAATGATTGTTTGTACATAAATGGCTAGATCTTTCAGATTTTATATCGGGAATATAAGTAATAAATATAAGTTTACTTTTAGGCCTTAGATCCAGATATTAAGACCGATATTTGTGATAAACGAGYATGAGKTTCCACTGTTGCGTTCCCTTGTGCACAAGCRATGGTCGATATAACGACAAGGCTTTATCCTTTCACCGCTTCCCTCCTGAGAAAAATAAGGACTTAAGAGAAGTGAAGAAGTTACAACTAAAAGTTACATGTATTTAGAGAGATGGGCAGTACCTCCTTCTAAGAGAATTTGTTTACATTGTTTATTACTTGTTTGCCGGTGGTGTCATTCCCACAAATCCAAAGTAATTCTTATTGAGAACCCTGTGTTGGATATAAATTAGCATTTGGGAAAGCTGTGTCACCTCTTAGGATGATGGGATAGGAAATGGCACATCAATGTAAAACCACTGAGTTAAGCCTCTCTATGGAGGGGGATTTTGGACAAAAATGCCATTGGATAAAATTTCCTTCCATTGCATGATATATTTCATTCCATTCGATCGTATTTCATTCCATTCGATCGTATTTCATTCCATTCGATCGTATTTTATTCTGTTGGATAATATTTTTTGTGTGGATTAATATCTGCCATTCCATTGGATCATATCTTGCATGACATTCGATCACATCCGGCCATGCCATTGGATTATATCGGCCATGACATTGGATAATCCTCTATGCCATTGGATTGGGTGTGGCAATACCATTCAATCACATCCGGTCATGCCATTGGATCATATCGGCCATGACATTGGATAATACTTTATGCCATTTGGTCGATGTGAACAGTTGAATTTGAAGATCTGTGTATAAAACCGGAATATGAAATATCGCCGTTCGTCTGAAAGAAACTCCTGCTTTCAATAGGTTGTTTTCGTAGAATTTAGTTTACCGGATATTACCTAATGCAAGGGGATATGTAGGGGTCAAATAAAGGTCACAATTATGAAGAAAGAAAGCAGCCATGTTATAACTGTAATATTATTTGATAAAGTTTTGGTCGACTACTGAAAAATTGGTATAAGTATTGAAAAGCATTAAATCCTTAATTTATCGCTTCAAAAGGTTCTCAAAGTATTCGAGAAAAACAACATTTATCGTAGCAGCTTTGAAATAATAAATTCGATCGCTGTTCTGGTATTTGTCATCTTTTTTTACACGTCATTCACATGTCACATATCACAAGTCTTACATATGGAATTGTGGGTATTGTGTGCTTGCATTCCCTCGTGGTTCATCGTGTCTAGCTGATCCTGCTTTTGGTTTTAAAACATGGAAGAAAAAAACCAAACCAAAAGACGCTGCTTCAGTCCTTGGTCCCATTCATAACTGGGTCAACAATAATGGATGCAGACCTAAAGATAGAAGTCTATTTCCAAACTGAGGAAACCAAGACATTACTTGAAGCAGACAGCTGTTTTAATAAGCTCACCTTGCCAATCTGCCACAATAATTATGACAGTTTTAAGAAAGTTTTAAGAAAGCATGCTGCACCTCATTGGAAATGGCAGCACTTGGATATGGAAGGTTCTGAGTTACATTATGAAAACATTTATATTCATCAACAAAAAAAAAACAATGATTGTATGAGCAATACACCATTCCAAAACCTTTTCTTTGTTTTATGAAGAATGATGTATTATTGAATGGCACAAGTTAAGGCTCAGCAGGAGTTTTTTTTCAATTTTGGCAAATTTTCGTTGTAGTCATCATTGGACAAGCTTTCATTCTTTCTTAAAATGAATTCAATAACATTGTTCAAAAAATAAATTTTATAATTTTAATTATGAAATTAAAAACCAATATTGATAATGCAATAAGTCAATCAAGATTTCATGAAGCAGTCATCAGGTTACTGTTAGTCAATTATTTTATTATTTTCATAGTTTTAAATAAAATTTTAATTGTGTAACTGTGGAGATTCCTCATGCAGTACTATGCTATCGCTTGTACCTTAGGTACTATTCTGGATGCAATCTTTCTGATACAAGAGCACATGCTTCCAAGTATATAGTAATTCCATAGCAGTCATCACCCCTTAACGGGTGTACCAATTGAGCAAATTCCTGGAAGTCACTTTCCGACAATGGATTATTTGTAACTTCAAAAGCAAGAGTTTCATCATCCCCAGGCTTATTAGGAAGTGGTGCATCACAGTCAATCCCATATTCATTCCATTCCTAGACACACACAATATACAAAAAAGTATAAAAAATTGGGCAGATTTTGAATAGAAATGAAATAATTTGATGCCATCACAACATCTTGTACTTCGTTCATGACTAGGCACTACATAGAAGGGTTAGTTGATATGGAGGAGGGGGGGGGGGATAAGCCTGATAACTTAGGCCTAAGGTAAAGCAAACATGCACCCATTGAAAAAAAAAGTAATTAAGTTCAGTGGATGGAAAGTTTGATGATTGCCCTAGGCCTTAGTCATACTTTGGTAGAAGTTTTGTACCTGAGAAGATGCACCTGATTGTGTTCCTGCTATTAATGCATTTATGTTTGCCTGAACAAGTCCCAATATCCACAGCTGATTTGGATATTTGTTTCCTGCTGTTCGGATACGATGGTCATTCCAAGACATTATAAAATTATGAAGATGTTGATTAATTCTAGGCAAGTAAACATAATGTAAACAGAACATATGGATGTTATTGGAAACATCCAATCTCCCTGTCTCTTCCAAAAAGTAAAACACAGAATAGTATATGTAAAGGCAGCTGGCAAAAACATCTCTCCAAAGGCGTCCAATACGCTGGTTGTGAACACTTGGTCCTGTAATAATACTACCTCTTCCTGGACCCCTCTCTGGGTGATTTAACATGAACCATGCAACTTCAACATTCTCTCCACCATGATCTGTACGCACTCTTGAAGGTAGGCCATGGACAGAAACTGCATTTGAGAATAGGGAAAGAACTGTGTCAGCCTGGTTGTTTCCATTGCACTGAAGAAACATGACTTTTCTGGAATATCCATCTATGYAGCCATGTACAACAAATTTCCATCTAATGAAGGAAGAAATATCTTGCAGTGAATCCTCAGTTTGGCCATAGTTTATAGAGGTTATACTATGGTTTGACCACTAAAATACAATGGCAGCTTATACCATCTTACTTGAGTAATGGAGAGAAAATACTTGATGCCTTAAAGGCAATGTGAAAAGTAATCAACATTTGTTTTCAAATAACGTTTTTCCCCACAAAAAAACTAGTCCCAAAAGGAAGTGCGGGGAGAGCATAACATGGTGATCATAGTTAAAATCAAGGGACTATGAGTATATTCCAGTGAATATATACAACCCTGGAATTTGTGAAAGGCAGGGAAATGATGTACACCACTCTGAAAAACAAAGAAAAAGCCTAGATTATAATTGACACTGGCTGTCAACCTACCTTATCAACTTATGATTACCATCAATGTGCCATAGTTCTAGGGGACCCCTCACACTGTACGTCCTTCGGTGTGTTACTCGAATTTGGAGAGCCCTTACAGTGGTTCCTGTTAAGATCCAATTAATCATCATTCTCACCAACGTGTAAAAGGGGGAGTGGGGAAAGGTGGGTAAAAAATGAGTACATTCAAGGTGTCACCTTTTTATGAATAAAATCAAGTGCCTGCCAAGCTATTATACATGCACTTACCTATTGGATCAACTCTTCTCATTGCCTCTCTGATACGTTCTTGCTGTACTTTATGGCCTCGTGATAATAAGTGACCAAGCATAGCTTTATAGCCACTGTTAGGGAAATCATGAAGGATATTGCTAATGCACAACTCCATATCACTCATGTTGCTATACGTGGAGCGCACTGACATCCCGAGCTCTGTTAGCCGTCTGTAGATTGTTTTTCTGCTTACTGCAAGCATTCTAGAAATTTCGGTAGCTGTGAAGCCTTTCTCTAAGAAGTACTCTAGCTTTTCTGGGCTTATCAAGAATTTTGGTCTTCCCTTATTTCCTGTGAGTGTAATATCTACTTGTTTAGAAGCAGATGTATCCCTGTCTACTGAAAGTAGTAACTCACGAGCTTGAATCAGCTTGGGAAGCATAGACGCTTCATATTCTCCTCCCAGCCGCAGAATAAAAGAGGAAAGCCATTCTATTTTGTAAACGGCAAAATCATACCCTGTATATGTTTCAAGACAACGAATGACATCAAGAAGTGCATTTCGTATGCTATCGTTTATAAGATTACGAGGACTTTCTTGTTGGCCGTCCACCATGTTCGCCGCCATCTTGGCTTGTTCGTTGCAAGCTTTCATGTGATTTCGTAGTGTTACAGTCACGAAAATGTTGGGGAAATGTGGTCGCTTTGTCACTCTACCTTGTCCTCTAACATTTGAAGGAAAATTTATTTTCAYTTATTTATTTGATTTTCTATGCAGCACCGAAATTTCATTATTCGATACGAAAAAAAAATTCTTGAGGTCTGTTATGGAAACAAAGTGAATTAATCAAGTTGATAACTCCATCAAAAGTTAGTTAAATAGAGTGGCAAAGCGACAACATTGTCCGAACATTAAGGGACCATAACATCACTTAGMCGCGTGAATACCACACCCAATCCAATGGCATAAAGTATTATCCAATGTCATGGCCGATATGATCCAATGGCATGACCGGATGTGATCGAATGGTATTGCCACACCCAATCCAATGGCATAGAGGATTATCCAATGTCATGGCCGATATAATCCAATGGCATGGCCGGATGTGATCGAATGTCATGCAAGATATGATCCAATGGAATGGCAGATATTAATCCACACAAAAAATATTATCCAACAGAATAAAATACGATCGAATGGAATGAAATACGATCGAATGGAATGAAATACGATCGAATGGAATGAAATATATCATGCAGTGGAAGGAAATTTTATCCAATGGCATTTTTGTCCAAAATCCCCCTCCATACCTCTCACTCCCAAGAGTGCCTTTTGGCACTCAGGGGTGCAATGCCAAAAATCCTAATAAAACTGGCAAGGGATGTCGAGCTTAAGAAAAAGCGCCCTTTGGATACCGATAGTGAAAGCGAAGAGGAGGAAGTTAGTGAATGCAATAAGAGTGACAAGAATGAAGACAGTGAAGACGACGAGGTTAGTGAAGTAAACGAAGAGCAAGATATGGATGAAGGTGTTAAAGAGCACAACGATGCTACAAGGAATAATCCGGAGGAGAAAATCAAGATATCGCAAAAAAACGGCTCTTTTTAAGGCCACATTATGATAGGCGTTTTATTTTAAAATGATAGAGCATGTATGAACTGGTTTGATTTTGAAAATAAAGATGCTATTTCTGATACTTCTAGTATTTTTGGCCCTACAGTTAATATTTCTACTTTGAAAACAAATCAAGATTTCATATCTGATAGAGAGATGGGTAGAACAGCAACTTTTGATGAACCATTACCTAAAAAAAGAAATATCGCATGTCAACACCAAGCCATAATGCAAATAGCAATCCCTTGAAGTCAAAAACTGCCAAATAGCAGCTAATGTTTATGAACTTGACAGATTAAAACAAAAACTAACTGAAAATCCAAAATCATATTTTCATGCTAAAAAATACGACTCAGTCTTGGTAAAAATTCAGACACAAACACTACGACCACTCAGATCAATAAAGGATCAACTAAAATGGTTGGACAATAACTTCTTGAAAAAGAACAATCGAATCCCAATTGACAAAGATTACAGGAAGAGCACAGTATGGAATGAACTTGTAAAGAAAAGGCAAACTGTCTTAAAACTTCCCAACTCCCGGAAAATTAAAGTTCATCTGTACAATGGCTTCAATCTTTCAACGGTCAAGGCACCTCCAAAAGAGCCCAAAAAGAATGCCCTGAGACTCTTAGACAAACTCTTTACAACAGAAGAACTGAGTCATGGTATTCTTTTTGCATCCAAAAGATCAGGAGAAAAAGAGCTGGATCAGGATAGAGTTCAGAAAATGTTTGGTAAGTTTGGATAATGTCAGTATACTAAGACCTGTYTCTAATTGTTTGTTTGTTGCTTCTTTGGGCTAAGCAATTCAAAGGTTAATATGGTTGCAGATATTATGACCAAAGCCTTTAGCCAATACACCTTTCAAAGATTAAGAGACATGCTAGGTGTACAAGACATTGTATAGTTCATTATACTTTCATTGCCTTTATTCTATTGTTCCTGTCATTACACATTGTTTTGTTTGTTTCAGCATAATCATCAAGTGGGAGTGTTAGAATATGATAATTAATGCTGTTTTATATTTCTTATCTTATCGCGGGTTCCCTGTGTAATGCCCACCTTGTTGTTTTTCGTTGTTCGTTGATTAAAGATGTCGTTGTGTGGACGCGTGTCAACGTGTGTGTGTTTTGAGTATTTCCTAACAGGTTATGGGCCCAGCACACTAAAATTGTAAGTTTTTAGCTCAGATATTATGGCTGAGATTACGAAAATTGAGAAACTTAACGGAGAGAACTACCAATCATGGAAATTCAACATCAAATTAGTGTTAATGGAACAAAGTTTATGAGGATTCATTGATGGCTTAGAAACGGAGCCCAAAGAAGACGACAGCCGGCAGTCAAGAATTCTTTCAAATTACAATCAAACAAACCGTATTCCTAGATYGCCTTGAATATTGAAAAAGAATTACAAGTACACATTTCATCGATCACCAACCCACGGCTCGCATGGGAGAGATTACATCAACACTTTGAATTCGTCTCTGTAAGTCAAATTGTGTGACTCAATCGGCGGTTTTACGCGGCCTCTGTGGTTGAGGGGGCCGATTTAATGGATCACATCACCCATATGACTTCACTCGCTGAACAACTACATGAATTAAAGGAGGATATTTCTTCAAAGAAGTTTGCCATCACTGTCCTGGGGAGCTTGCCCGATTCTTACGACACATTTCTAACGAGTTTGAATGCTAGAAATGCCGATGAATTAAGCTGGGACAATGTAAGAGGACTTCTAACTGAGGAATACCTGAAGAGAAAAGAAAAGACCGAGAAGCAAGACATCTATTGAAAAATCTTTATTACAGCTTCATATATTCATATATATCCTATGGTTCATTAATTTGGGGAAGTAAATATAAATCAAGATTATTGCCTATTCACATTTTACAAAAACGAGCCTTAAGAATAATCACCTTCTCAGATTTCAGAACCCCTAGTAGACCTTTATTTCAAAAACTGGACATCTTAAACATCTTCGAGATAGTAAAGCTCCAGCTTTGCGAGGTTGCGTATCGGCACATTAATCATCAATTGCCTAATATTTTTGTCAACTATTTCAGAGATATAGATTTAATTCATGATTACAACACGTGCTCTAAAACGAAAAGGAATTTATATTTGCCTCACCAAAACTTAAGTTATGGCCACTTTGTTGTAAAATACGCAGCTATTGCAAACTGGAATGATGTTSCTCTTGAAATCAAAAATAGTTTATTGCTTAAAAGTTTCCATACAAATTTCAAAAAATACCTCATATCTCAGTAAACTACAAGTTCTTATATTTAACTCGTAAATGTAAATCTTTACCGTAACTGTWTTCACCTTAAAAATGCTTGATTTCTATTTTACTATTATATTGTAAGTATAATATTCCGCCATTCACTATTTCTTTAAAATTGCTTACATTGGTGCAGGATTTTTCTTAGTTAACCCCTTTTGGGTTGTTCCTCCTGCACCTTTGCACTTCTTTCTTAAGTTCTATTTGTAATTCTTTGCTTTTTCGTGTGTGGAAAGTTAAAAACCTTTGAAACCTTTGAAACCTTTGACAGCGAAGATGCACTTTTTGTGAACAGAGGAAATAACACACGTGGACGAAATCAGTGGTCACGTGGTCAACGGGGAAGTCGTTTTTCCCGCCAACGAAGCTCTAAAAGATCTACCAACGATCATAATGACGAAACTGTCCATATAGAGTAAACAAAAGTGAAAACTCCAACATTGCGGAAACTGATGGAATTGCGCTGATTTCAAATGGATCCAATACGAATCAGGTGAAAGATAAACGCCAAAAGTGGTTTATTGATTCTGCAGCCACTAAGCATATGACACACGAGAGAGAAATTCTATTGGACTATGTCGAATACAAGCATCCCATAAATATCTTCTTAGGCGACAATACTGTCATTCATACCCTTGGAGAGGGAAACGCCAACCTATCCACAAAGAATTCTGGACATGACGTCACACTCAACCTACACAAAGTCTTGTTCGTTCCTGACTTTACAAAAAAATTGTTGTCTGTTCCTGCTATGGCCATGATGGGGGCCGAAATCCATTTCGATCAAGATACATGTATCGTCTTGAAAGACGGTGAGGAGTTTGTGATTGGAAATCTCATTAATCACAAATTGTATGCTGTCAACGCAATTGAATTTGCCCATGTCTCGACTACATCCACCTCAGCTTCTGTACCATCCTTTGAAGATTGGCATTGTAGGATGGGACATTTAAACTACAACTACATTAACCGATTGCTGTCAAAAGACATGGCTGATGGTATGCTATAAGACAAAGAGTCAAACCCCAATGTTGAATGTGAAGCGTGCATTCATGGTAAGATGAAAAGAGAGTCGTTTCCAAAGATGAGTGAGCATCGAGCAACAAGACCTTATGAGCTGGTACACAGTGATTTATGTGGACCCATGCAGGTTGATTCAAAAGGTGGTAGCAAGTACATGTTGACATTTACTGATGATTACT